AACCGAAACTAAAATTCCAACTAAAAATTCGGATCGTGTTAGTTTCGTGTTAATCAATGAAAATCAAGAGGCAAAATTTCTATAGCTACTGTTCTATGGAGGAGTTCAAAACGGTTTCCTTTAAACCATATACCTTCTGGATCTTAAGTATTTGCGGTTAAATCTGGAAATTGCTGTATTGTAACTTCGCGCAATTTGCGCGGGGCTCTGCTAGTTGATAAATATTTGGAAACGTATTTGTTCAACAAGATCGAGATGGAAAAATGTGCGCACATAGTACGTGGGCCGTGACATCCTGAAATCGCCTGGAGTATGACTAAGACATGAATGTCTTGTGCAAGGGAATATTTAACCATAAACAATTGTTCTGTATTAATCTATATTGCTGTAATAGAGTTGAACAGAGAATTCACTCTTGGAAACAGACGAATATTTTCTCGCGAGACCTCACAATGAAGGGGAATGGAGCATTTTCGACTTTAGGACAGCGACGGGTTCCCTTGCAGTCCTATTCCCACGATTCTCATATTCATCCCGCGGTGCTCTTTCTGAAGAGGCACATGAAGCCTGCTATGGATGGTTCGTGTGGTGTCCTTGGAATATGTTGGTTCTCTACTCTTTCTGGAGCTCCACTGCTCCCGTTTCCACTGCTTTCCTTTTTCTCCTCTCCGCGGCAAGTATTCACGAGGAATGACTCTCTCTTCCCGTTTATTCTCCTCGTTCCTTTGGAATTTTCATAATGTGCACACATTGAGCAGAAATGCAACCTCTCAATTTGGAGGTTGTGTCCACACAGAAAATATTTAAATTACATTTTTAAAGAAAAATTTAATAAGGCTGCAGCAGGGATTGCAAGATTTTGACTGGTTTGACAATTCCGTCCCGTTCTTTTCTTTTGCCATTTTCGCATGTATTTCATCTGATTCTTGATCCAATCCCGTTCCAAAGAAGCAATTTGTGGTCTGTTGTCGCGCAGTGCTGTTGTATGATTTTATATGACGACCAGGGAGAGAAAACTCTGTGCCATCAGTACAAACTCTTAACTTCAATGTGTATGTGCATTTTTTATTTTCTGGAACATATTTGCGAGAAAAGAAAGGAGAATAGTTGCTTGAAAAGAAATCTTCCTAGAACACTTACGGTATTTGAAAAGAGAATAGACGATTGGGGGGTTATTAATGGATGCGTCGTTTAAAAGTTGTCAGTTATTTTGTCAACTTGTTGTGATGCTGCATTTAGCAGCTAATGGAAAACCGCACAAATGAGCGTGTGGACATCAATACTAACACTGTATCATTTCTTTACGGATCGCTGTAGATGAAAATGGCATATGGAAATTTAGTGTTGTGTGTAATTCTAATCCTTATTCTGGCAACGACGGAGGTGGAATCCCTGCAAATGTCGAGATGTCAAATTGGTCGCCTGCTCCTCCGTTACGGGTTCCCAAGATCCAAGCTCGGGGACTGTAAGACGCATTATTTCAGGGTTCCAAGGATCACGTGGATGCAATCGCTTCACCGCGCATCGTGACATTCCAGGGCTGTGCCTGGTGGAGCACGAGAGCAAAAGGAGGACGCACCACACCAAGAGCAGGAGCAACGGGTCCACTTATTACGGCCTCTTCCAGATCAGCAGCCGGAGGTGCAGGCCCAGCCGAGGAGGATGCGATGTCCGCTGCAGCAGTGAGACGCCTCTAGTATCCATTCTTCCCTTTAATGAGAAAGGGAAGAATTCCCTTTCATCCAAAACATACGAAAAATAAGCAAAGCCAACGAAATCTAGCCCATTTTTTAAATGTGTTACGAGAATGTCACAGAACGGGAAGGGGAAGTGGGGTGAGGGGGGGGGGGGGATTGGCGGACTTGGATGTACCCCATTCGGAGCCTATCATTGCGTAGAAAGGTTTAATCGTGGACGAATTTTAAATATGCGTTTGCAGGCTGGGAGAACAGAAAGTCCCCCGGCGTGGAAAAAATCCAGACAGCGATCCTGAAAGCAATTGTCATATATGATCCTCTCGAGAAGTCCTGAACGTTGCTCCCTACATGTTAGGGGGCACTGCTGGAACGTGTGGAAAGGTTTAGGTATTTTGGGGCCTGGTTCTCAAGTGAGGAGCAGTTCCAAAACGAAATCGGCACTCTCATCTCCGAATTCGGAGATGCAAATCCAAATCCAAATATGTCCTTCGAAGGGAAAGTTTGACTCATGATTACGTGATCCTCATCCGCGAGTCCTGGCGAAGAAAAGTCATCGACGATGACCCAGCAAAAATATTTAACATTCCAGTAGAGAGAAACAGCTAATGACGAAAGATATCGATGAAGTTACGCGACCGCTTGGAGGAAAGGAGAATCCCGCAATACCCGCAATCAGGCAGAAGAGGGAAAACGCTAGGAAAAACCTCCATTTCCTTCTGCTTCTCTCTTAGGTCAGCCGCGTGAAATCGGCAGCTCCTTTCGGGTCTTCCGATTATCCTAAACGTTAAAACCGACATATGGGCGGTACTGTAGGCCTTCATCATGCACGGAGAGGGCTCAGGTCATGAAGTCAAGTTAAGTCAGGAATATTTCTCAAAGCCAAATCATTAAGGCCGGAACACTCGCTACTTGCAGTTTCCAGCTTTCGAATCATGACTTAGTTGGCGTTTTGAAAACTTGCAAATGAGGAAGGGAGATATAAATGAGCAAAAAACAATGAGGTTTTTGAGTGCGTTCATGATCCATGGCAAGATGTATTCTGACGCCGCCTACGCCCATGTCTTATGAAGTCTGCCTCTTGGATGAGGAAGAGTGATAGAATGGTGAATGCAATATTCTGGAACATTCCGCGAATTCTGTGAATATTCTGCTTTGCACTCTATGAGGCTTCTAAAAGTTTGCAAGGCCAACTTTAATGCTTACAACTTCTGGGACTCTTCCTTAAAAGAAACTATAAATCGTTACCAACGTTACCAACGTTACCAACCTCTCTTAGTATGAAAAAGGCACTCCAGCTTCGCATAAAAGGGGAATTTTTTCTCAACGGAGATGAGGCATTCTACATATCGATGCTGCATTTCAGAATTTCCTTCTCTCGCGCAGGAAACCGTATAAAAGGCAGGAGAAAGTCTAATTGAAAAAGTAATTCTATAGTAAAAAAGCATACTTTTTATTGTGCGTGATTAATAAGTATGTCGCGCCCTTACTGCACATGTGCACACCGTGTCACCTATTATCATTAAACTGGAGAGAGTTCGGTGTCATTTTGCCTTTTGTTCTTTCCCTAGACCTGTTGAACACCGACTTATCGGACGACGCGAAGTGTGCATTGCAGATCTACAAGAAGACAGCCAGGAGGAACGGCAGCAACGGATTCAACGCCTGGTCCGGATGGAGAAAGAACTGCAAGGGACGAAGCACTTCTTCCTACGTCCGAGGCTGCAGGCTTTCGACGACCAGGCGCTCTCCGTCGGAGTCAGGTGGCGGCTCGGCTGGCTCTCGGTGATGGATGCCTTTCGCCGTTGTCGCAACCTGAGCTGTTGGATTTTTGTTTTGCAATAACCAAGCTGACTCAGAATTGGCGGATTGATCTCAGGCAGTCACAATGTTGAGGATTGGTGATGTGGAAAATTTTATATAAATCAAAGCCTTTATTTAGACTCCAGTGATTCTTGCGACTTAATTCTCCGCACATTTCCGTTTCAATTCGTAGCTGATCTTTCGAAAGGCATTCCAGGGATAATATGTACCTAATAATACCTGGATTGTTGTAAGTATATTTCCTTTCAGTATTTGTAGAGCTTCTTTATATTTTGAGTACATTTTCTCTCAATAACATCATTGTGGTATTTCTTTTCGCATGACATCACCCAAACCCAAGGATGGTACTAGACGCTAGACAAAGTCACGATATTAAGCTAATCGCAACACTGATATGACAAACATCAGGCTATAATATCACAAACATAGTTTAATTCGAAGAAGAATCAACGTTTCTTTTCAAAGAAATACTCATACTTTTCAACGTTTCGTCAAAGGGCTGATTATAATGTTGAAGACTGCGGTTTTTTTTTTCCTTTCAATGCCGTGAAGCGCAAAATTCTCACAAATGTCAAGGTGATGAAGCATCTGACGAAGCGTCGCTTTGCATTTTGAAATAAGAAGTTCATATTACGCTGTATGTGTCATATGGCATTAGTACATATGTGAAAGGAGGGAGAGAGAAAATATAACCTTATTCTCCAAATGTAGGAATTGATGCCAGTGTGATTGTCAATAGCCTCAACGAAGGGTTCGTTCGTCCTCGGATGATGTTCAAGGCTTTCATGGGTGCAAAATACCATTATGAGCATCATATTCACTGAAACTAGAGTCAACTTATTCTCAATAATTCATTTACAAAGGGAAAATAATGATGTAGTTAACGTTATTGTTATTCGGCCTTTTCCCCAATATGAAAGGCGTTTGAACCATGTATGCATTGTTCTTCACCAATTGGTGGAATTCAGGAAATTTCCCTTCTCTAAGGAGAATAAGGGGACATTTGACATTTGACAATATGACATTTCTACATCTCCGATTGAGCTTGGGGAAGGCGGCGCCTATCTACTTAGGTCATATTTATTCACAGGCCAACGATATTGGGAGCCACAAAAAAATCTTGCTAACTAGAGAAAATTAAAAAAATGGCTCGACTTAGGTGCAAGCGTCCCTCCTTCCAAGCCACTCCCGTGAGGAATCCTCGGGACCACGCGAAGGAAAATGTCCTCCAACTGGTTACAGACTGAGGGATCCACGTGACTGATGAGGTCATCTCTCGATGCTTCGCAGACGGGGAAGGCCATATCCGCCGATTTATTAAATTAGCACAAAATAGCACAGTGTGGTCAATAAATACCTGACAGACTTCAAAGTAATGTTAAACGGGCATTACAACTGGAAACATATTTCTACAATATAACATGGTAAACTACAATCTAAGGAGTTTTCCACATAATATTCCATGTGTGCTCTTTGCTCATAAAAACCTTGAAAAAACGATAGCACATAGATGTCCACCACCTTCCTTTATGCACAGATCATAGTGTTTCATATCACTTTTTCCTGGTGTTAATTGGAATATTGACTAAGGTAATTTGGGGAATATGGCCCTCCAAAATGAAACTTGATCATAACGGCTCATCAAGGCCGAATTTGACTTTCGCAATGCTTCTAAGAAATTAATTAATATCCTTCACTAAATTCCAGCAGGGCACATGCAAAAAAATACCATGGATATTGGGCCTTCAGATAATTTTCAAGTTTGCCTAACAGGCCATGTTACCTCCATTTTAGGTCAAATCAAAAGGTTTTTGAGGTACGTGTGAAACATGCTGGGTACCTTGAACTATAATTCAAAGCGGAGGACCTCGGTTGCATATAGCTTGCGCGATTCTGGCCGCCAGGTAGGCCGAGCGACAATTGATTCTTTTTTTTGTCTGTTTGTATGTGTGTGTGTGTGTGTGTGTGTGTGTGTGTGTGTGTGTGACAGCTCTACAGGTCAAACGCTTAGAGATATGAACTTGCGGTTTCGACAGAACTCTTCCTTACCATCGGAGGATGTGCCTTTAAAAAGGGAAATTTGCAAATCGGCCATAAGAAAGGGAAGGGAGGCAGTTTTTTTTAAATAAAAAATCATGGATTAGCTCTCGTCTCGCCATCTTTCGGATGAACATGGAACGAGAGTTGCCGAAGTTCTCGAAAGGGATTGCTGGCATCGCACACAGCAGCGCCTCTGGCCTACTGCCGTGAATCCATAGATTTCAAGGATCCACGATGAAATACCAGGTGATTTCTCAGCTCGTCACCACATGCGTTTACACGGGTTTTCGCAAAGAAACCCATCAAACTAATTGCCTCGTTCCTTTCCATGGCTCTTAATGAAATTAGCTGAATTTGACGAACAACCCAAAGAGGTCTCCGAGATTAAGAGTTTTTCAAAGGGTTTAATTTCTTTTACCGTATCGCAGTCGCATTGGTAGAAGGAAAAATAATACGAGTGTACCCCTTGGGAGATAGGATCTTGCAACAGCAATGCGGTGATTTGCGGATCACCGCTGTGCTGTGCGTTGCATCTTGCTTTGTTCTTCTTCGCCTCCTTCGTTCCATTCACTGATAGAGTGTTGAAGATTATCCCGTGTCAAGTGAGAACTGCAGGCTTTATGCATATGGCATTGCCCAAGTAGCATATAAACGTTTTCGAGGACGCTCAAAATATTTTCAAAGGGGTCTCAGGACATCCAGCGTATCAGAGCGAAAATCTTTTTGGCGCTCAATTTAGGTGTCTCATAGCCTCGAAACTTGCTGCATTTGAGGGGCATTCGTCGAACGTTTCAGATGTTTTACTGAAGCATATCTATGTTATCCATCTGAAATTGGCTTGAAGCTATGATTCCCAAAACCGACGCTAGATGGCGCCAAATTAGTCGATGTAGCGGATCGATTCCTAATACAACTGGAATTAGCCACTAATACTATCCACAATGTAGCCCACCTTTCTTCATATAAACCAGAGCAGGAAATACTGGAATTCTTGAATAAATCCTTCATTTGAGATAACTCAGTCCAAGAGAGAGAACTCTGGCTCTAACGATTGAGGGAACGATAGATGGTTCAATTTCCAAGGTGAATGCACAGAAAGCGATTTTAGTGACCATCATCATCTCACATTTAAATGGTGTTCCCATAGAGAACGTATGAAAGGAGGGGCCTCTCCTATGGAGAGAGTCTCTGCACCCTTCCAGGCGCGGCCGCCGTCTTATTGAAGCCGCACGCACAAAGTTTTCCATAGCAGATACATGGAGGGAGAGGGGGGGATTGAGGCAACTCGCCCCAGGCTATATGCCTAGAGAACTTCACCCCGGGATCCGACCAATCACGTTATTCATTCCTACGTGCGGGACCGTCCCAAGATATAAGAAACCATTTGTAACTCTCGCGGCATCGAAGGCTTGTCTGACTCCTGAAAATGAGGTAGCTGATGAAAAGATAAAAACTTTTATTATGAATTTGAATTTCCACTCGTTTCTCCACTAGACTCTCCCAGACAATGTAGGATACTACCATCAATCCTACCGATCGGCTTAGACTCTTAATGCGAGTTACGCGAGCAGAGCTCTACTTAGACTGAATGCAATGTAAGTTATGAAAACCTATCCAAAACGTTAATTGTATCAAATATATATGACGAATCCTAAAAAGAAAGTTTTATTAAACAGTTTCCTTGGAAATATCTAATTCACGTAGCTCCAGGGACTCATATTTGGAAACGTTTTCCATTGCTTTGAATTTTGAACATTTAAGCAGTTAATAGAACGTTTCCAAGGACATTTATGGAACGCGGGCGATAACTTGAATGAAACGTTCATGGAACACGGTTGGGTCCTACTTGGGTAGTGGTCTCTGAAGATCATGGTGATTCCTTCCGCGAAAACAAAGTATTTCCTTTCCTCCGGTTTCCAGCAGGATTTACCTGCAACTGTTATAGAAATGCATTTTCTCTATGCTGCTATGATCTCGAGATATATACATTTGAGAGTCATCCATTTTTGGCTCCTAGTGTCTGCATGGATTGGAATTGCGCTACTATTTTTTTTACAATAACTTCCCTTCTATTTCAGTTAAAACCTTCGTAATGATGTCATTTTAATTGTGAAACTGCTCTGTGGTGTTTAGGAAACAAATCTCCCGGTATACGGGAAGCTGTAAGTGTGTAAATCTAATGAAGCGGTTTAGTTCCGATTGGGTAATGCGATGAACAGAGGATGTCATAGAGACGTCATGCTCAAATTAGAAGAACCAAATTTCCTTCTATATAATATAAGACGGCCAGCGTAACGGCCGCAGGCCGCTAGTACAGTCAAAAGCTGAGCACCCTTTTCCTTCGTTCTCTTGAGGTGAATAAATGAATGACCTGTGACACACTTCAAAATGCGATAGATTCAAAGGAAATATGAATATTTTCTCCCGGAAGTGATCACCCCCTAATTCCTTATGTTGTGGCTTAGTCTTTTCCGCCGGACATGACTAGCATGAAGGAAGGGGAGTGCGGTAGAGATACAATATCGCCACCACATTCATCATTCGATTAGACCGCTTCCGCCAAGAAGTGCTCATGTAAAAAAAAGTCCCTACCCTCTCGACGCTACTCTGGCACTGTCCATCCCCAAGTCACGCAATTAAGGAATGAGGTATACCCTTTGCAGGGGAGAGAATATACAGGGTGTGCCAAAAGTCCCTGTACGACTTCAGTTAAAATGTAATTTATTTATTTATTTAAAAATTAACCGTAAGAGTTAGACCAAATCGGTTTATTGTATCACAAAACGCATTTTAAAAATCTTAAAAACTTCAGTTTTAAAAAAGTCACGGGGACTGCCATTAGCCTGAGTATCGAGGTGTTAAATGTACGTACTAACAATTCATGTGGTTCGAATCCTCACCCTTGGATTAACTTATCGACATCCTTACCGGGAAGCCTCAGATAGGACGAGAGGAAGGAGAATTGTTCATAAGAAGAGGTTAGTCATTTTCGAGCTCCTTTGTGCTGATGGATTAAATGAAGTGCGTGGCATATCGTCGACCCTCAATGGTTTCGAATAGCTTCCCTTCTGAAAAGGTGTATGATTGCAAATCTCGAGGGAGTTTCGAAGGCGCACTGATTTGCTTTTTTATAACTTCAGAAATAGATCACATACTTTCATGCATATGCAATTAAATTTGTTATATTAGCATTCGAGTGCTAGAAGGAAATGTTAAGTGAATGGAGGAAAGTATTCGTTCGGAGGAACGAGATCTAGAGTTGGGTGAACGGCAACGATAGAAACATGATTACATTCAGGATACAGGAGGTCTTCGTTGCATCATAATAATTCAAAACGATTGATCCATAAACTTTACCTCTATGTTAGAATTCATTTAAGCGACAGAAATAAAGAATGTAGAACGTTTCATCTTTACAATGGCCACATTGATATCGTGTCATTTCCGGGCATTTCGCTGAATCCATTTTGAAGGCGACGTCAGCAACGTTTTTTTTTTTTTTAGCGTTTCAACGATCTGGGTTCATTGAGACGCATGCGTTACCATGCTTGACATGCCTGATATGCCTTGTGCCCTCTGAAACTTCCAAGTAACTGACGGCAAACAAATTATTGAACGTGCTGGAGAAATTTCCCTTGTAAGTATCGCAAACAATATGAGTAAACCAATCCAAAGCATTCCACTCCAATTTCGTAACCTAATAATATGATATAACCCATTTTATTACCATTACCATGGATATCTTATCAATGTGAAGTATCACGTGGTTCATTATTCAGGTACCTAGCACAAATTGGGTTCAACGCGGTATTGTTTGCACTGCTGGCAATACGGCCGTGCTTCATGATGCTCAAATCATTAACCTTGTGCCACCTCATCCTCTTCTCTTGGGGAACCTTGGTGACCTCACATGCTCCATGTCCAAAACCCCAGGATATTTCCCCCTGCACTTGCTCGTACTCCGAGGAGTCGCAAGAAGTGAATGTGGATTGCTCGGGTGCAATAACCAGTCAAAGTATCCTCGACGCATTCTGCAATGCATCCTGGCCCTCCATCCAACTCACGTAAGTGAAAACTCCATCAACCCCAGAATAATCTTTGTCTGTAACAGTAAAGTCAATTCAACATTTCTCCATCGAAACGAAATCTAAGCATCCTTGAGATGATTTTTTCTGGCACGCACGCATACCATATCAAGTGTTTACATTTTTGGTAAGTTGGTTGCTGCACCGACTTGGATTTTGCGGTTGTGTACTCTAGGTCGTAGGGAACTGATATATCTGATATTTTAGCTGCAACATTTTTTAATTCAATCCAGCATGATCACATTAAAATGGAGCTTTTAAATAACTGTTTACGACGGAACATAATAATTCTCTTACATGTAAATAAATACAAAAAAGATGACTGAATAAAAAGCACTCACTTTTTTCCCGTTTCACTATTACGTTTATGTCTTTTCTGCGCATGTTTCTTCACATGTATTCATTACATTTTAAAACTAACTTGCGAAGAGATAGAGAAAAGTTAGGGAAAAGAAGTAATGATCAATAAGTACTATTTAAAATGTTCATGATATCTCATTTTGACGTTGGTGGACGCATTTGCCACATTGTAAATGCATCTGCACTACAGCTATATTTTTTAAATCTAGATATAAACCTAATATCTCGTATATATAGGTTCGTGACTGACTGACGCTCATTCTAACCATGCTTTAAATGTGATGGAAACTTGATACACAAGTACCTAATGGGATGCATAGTTCAGATTCTGACATTTGCTTGATAAAATAGCTATAATTGTTAAAATTCATTTTCGATTGGTAGCTTTTTACCAGGCTTCCAACTCAACGAAAGCGAATGATACCAATATATAACCCTTGTTTTTCCTTTAAAAATAATCCCTTTAGGAAGTTTCGACTTAGCGAAAACGATAAGGTGCTGACCCTACCAGACGGAGTTTTTGGGAACATCACCTTCCAAAAAATACATGCATATCAAACAAAAATGAGAACAATCAACGTGGCGACCTTAAAGTCATCGAGAAGCAGACTTCAATCACTGAACATTTGGAACAGTCGGTTGGAGGATTTTCCGTTTGCTATCCTTCCTGAATTGACTCAGCTGAAGATCCTGGATCTCCATGGGAATGCCTTGGAAACAGTGTCAGCCCTAGAAAGCGAAAGTCTCCAGGAACTCTACCTGTATGACAACCAAATAGTGACATTTCAAGGAAAATTGACCATTCCAAACTTGAAGAATCTGAATATCGGTGAGTACAGTAGCCTTCAACTCCATTATGTTCCTGTGCACCCCTTGTACGAGAAAGGGCATTTCTCTAGCAATCTCAAGCAATAAGAAAGAATCATGCAAGTTAACATGCATAGAGAAAATCCGACGCGTTCAAGTTGCATGGAAAGGTCAACTTGCACACGACATATACTGTATATATCAATATATATATACCAAGCTCTATGAACCCATTTTCAAAACCGCACCAAACCAGCCAAGAATTTCAGGTTTGAAACAAGACTTACTTTTGTCTGTTAATACATTGGAATTAGGTGTTAACGTGCCGTTGTATTTTGGTTTTCAGGTAAGTTAAATCACTTCAGTAATTCGTGCTATTACAAGTAGAATTAGACCTATTCAATATGAGCTGACCTCCTCCTGGAAACAAATGACTGGGCTGTGAAAATATTTAGATTATGTGGAGGGAACGAATACTACAATAGTCCTAATCTGATTTTTCTACAATAATTTTTAGGTGGAAATCCCATATCCAAACTACCCTCTGACTTCTTTGAGGACTTGGAGAACCTAGAGGTGTTTTGGTGTCCATCTTGCAAATTAGGACCGATTTTAACGTCCGGGACATTCCAATTTCACAGTCCTGTCCTAAGAGAAGTGGGACTTTTCTTCAACACCATTTCAAGACTTGAACCGAGAGCCATCACAGGTGCGATCCAGTATTTCAAATATAAAGAGTTTCATTGCTGTAATATGCAAGATATATCTTCGAAAATGTGCCATAGATTCGGAAACGGCATATATTGAGTATGAGTTCGTCTGAGTTTCTGAAACATAACAAACAATTACTTTTCTGGTATCTTATTTTGGAAACCATCCAAATGTTTCAAGTACCTAAATATAAAGTGATGTCAAATGTGATTTTTTGTCAAAGTGTGCCCGATGCGAGTAAAATGCAATATGCCAAAAACCAGCTAAGAACCTGGTTGGCTATGAAGTCTGATTATAAAATTACATGGTGGATAGTTCAACTGAGCCGTCCTCCTCGTAATTTATGAGGTGGACAGGCTTTCGTAATGAGGGGAATGTTGTGATGGTAATTTCTCAATGGACTTTCATGCATCCCAAGTGGTTGAATGAAATAAGTCTCATTTTGGTTGAGCCCAGTTCCTATGCCGCAAATGAAATTCGACCTGAAAAGTACAGGTCACTGTCATTCGAGGATGAAGTAGACAGGTCGTTTTGTCTGCATTTAATCACAGTGGAAGAGATGAAATTCCAAAGTAAGCAGGGGATTTCCGTGGTAAAATGGCAAATTTTAGGTCACGATTTTTTAATAGATTATGCACTGAAAGCTCAGGAGTTTCCACAAATACTATTAAGTACAATTTAAATGAATTATATGCTTCCCCATATTCGGAGGATACAATCATTCCTGGCTCAAAGAACACTAAGATCAATATGGTTAGCAAATAAGTAAGATGTGCTTCAAAGCACCGTAACTGCAGAAATTCTAGGCGATGAACGTTGGCCAGTTTTGTCACCGCTCTCGCTACCTTTGTCCGAGAATGCTGAGCATCATGTGTTTTTTTTGCTCTAGGTCTAACCATGAACACGTCAGTTGAGCTATGGAGCAACCAGATCGACAGTTTAGAGCAAAAGTCATTTCGCCCGATGCTGGAAGAACTCTCGAAGGGAAATGGGTATATAAGTTTATTTGGTGAGTTTCCTAATTTAGCTGTTTTCTTCCTTTTTTCCTCATTGTCTTCTTAGATCCTTTAAATGATACGTATCTCATATATCAGGAAATCCAACCCGCTGCGATTGCAGTGTCGCCTGGCTCATCTCCAGTCCAGACCTCCTAAAAAGCGTGAAGGATGCATACTGCTTAGATGGGACTGCTTTTACCGATTTCGATGCAACATTATTTAAAAGGTGTCGCCTTTGTGAGCATGAGTGCGTCGATCTTAAGCAAGCTTCTTCATGTTCACCCGGAACAACAACACCATCGAGACCTCACGATTGTCGTCCCGAGGAATCGTGTTGCAAGCCAAAGATCCCAAAAGAGAATCCTCCAAAATGCGGTAGCAAGAGAAATGTGCATTCTTCGGGCGCGGCCAACACGTCCATGGATCAAACGCCATTAAACTTCGATGAGTGGCCATGGCAAGTAGCCATCTACAGCGTCAAAGAACAGTCGATCATTTGTGGAGGAGCTCTCATTCGGGAGAAGTGGGTCCTCACTTCAGCTGGATGCTTAAATAAGTTTCAGGACCCCAGGACACTCCTCGTCCATCTCGAGAAACTTCATTCGAATGAATCCAGGGACGACCAGTCCATGGAACCAATTAAAGTACAAACAAAAACGATAAGTCACACATTCTTCTACTCAGAATATGCATGTGGATTTCTTTGCTTATTATAGGTGTCCAAGATAATCCTGCATGATGACTTCAATGCGGAAAACTATGACTCAAACGTCGCATTGTTAAAGTTGAGGAAGAGAGCGCAATTGTCTCAACGGGTTCAGTTAGTTTGTCTTCCAAGCAATCCTGGGGTCAACCTCAAGGAGGGAACTCGAGGTTGGGTGAGTAAAAGGTTTATATAGATTCCAGATAGTCTCTAGCCCCGGCTGCGATTTCAAATTAGTTTGGTGGCAGGTGGTGAATTGGGGCTTGAATGGCACAACTGAGGATATGGTGGTGTCGAAGTGTCGTCAGGATACCGCACATCCAATTACAAGGGCCACATCGGACAAAGTGTTCTGTTCCACTAACAACTCGAAGAATTCTGACAGTGGTTTGCTCTTCCACTTTAACAAGTAGCAAGCAAAATTCAATTGACATTGTGATGATCTTCACTCAAAAATTCCAATGTTAATTGAATTTTACCTGCTACCTGGGTTGTGCTTGGCTTTACTCGCGATATTCAGTAATAAGATTCACTTTAGAGCGTGAAGTAGCTTGCGGGTGGGGACTGTTGGGGAGTCCCATGAGCTATATATTGAATCCCGGATCGAGAAGTCGCTGGCAGGTAGAGGGGATAACGAGTCACTGCCACCCTGGAAGCAATTCAATGGTTTTTGTGAAAGTGTCAAGGTGAGATTGGGATTTCATTATTTTTATTTCTCCTCCTTTTATCGTGTCAATCCCCTCTCCACGCTTTCCTATTTCCAATTCGCATGTTGCAACCTACAAACTTCCCTCAAGTAAATGAGTTCGGAAAAAAATCAAGGAGAAAAAAAGGTTTCTCTCAATGACGCTGTCTGTGTTATCTCCACTTCTTTGCATTGATTGCTTTTGTCCGAAGCTCGGAAATGGTGTTTTAGCATCGGTTCTCCAAGGCGCTTCTCTCTTCAATGCAGTATCACTAATAGAGAACAATAGAGCTTATTTGATGAGCAAAGCATTCCCTACTTTCTTATGAGCAAAAATAATGAATTCAACATGCTTGAGGACAATGATTGCGATTTGGAGATATCAGCATTCAACTATTTTCACTCTTCGATAAATCAACAGGGTGTTAAGAAAGTGGGGTGCCATCGCAATATGCCTATAACCCCCGTAAAAAAATATATATAAAAATAAGAAACTTTCAAAATGCACAATGACAAGGACAGTTAACTGATTTAGAATCACTTAGTAGTATTAAATATAACCGCCCTTGGCACGGATGAGAAGATTCAGACGACCCATGGAAGCATCGACTGATTTTCGTGTAATAACAAATTGTCAGGTAGGCTTCATATCATTACTGAGATGACCACTTTCAATATTAAATTAACTGCTTCTCTCGTAATTGCATGAACAGTCGCATGAACAAGTTATTCTTAATAAATGTGTTTTATGATGTGTTATTCTCATCCTCTCAGGTTTGTTTCCTGGATTATTGCCAAAATCCGTGAGAACGACGGCTAAAGACGCTGCGACGCATTTGCCTCTATATATGTCCAAGTGAAGAACTTCCACGGCTAAATCAACAGGGCCTTATTTGAACTGCCCTCAAAACTTTGGAAAACTCAAAACACTTTGAAAATGTTTGATTGCATTTGTTAAAAATTGTCTCTCCTATCATATTTTCTGGTGAAAATAATTGTTATTGCTGCTTTAACACATTGACGACAATGGAGGTTTTTCGTTTTTTCGCGCGTGGGACAGACCCAGACAGAACAGTGATTGTTTCACCAAGCATCATAAAAGGTTTTTTGTTTTTTGAAGAATGACAAATAAATATTGAAACCAGATTTAGCTTGCCCACGATGTTTATAGTATTATTGCGGGCCTATTATCATCAATTAATTGCACAAAATCGCGGGAAATTATTAAAAGCGCAGTAAAAATCAATTAAAACTCATACGACCCACCGGTGGGTCGTATTGTCCCACGCGGACAAACTGATACGACCCATCGGTGGGTCGTATTGTCGTCAATGTGTTAAATGAAATATTTGCTTTTTAAAGTGTCTGGGAACTTTCAGGTCACCTGTAGACTCGAGTATTTTGTCTTTTGATTTTAAAGACATGAAGAATTCGTTACCATATGACATCTTTATTGATGAACTCATACATATTAAACAGGCATTGCGAAATAAAATTAGGAAGCTGATGAGTAGGGAAAACCCTCAACTGCTGCAAAATGTTTGTTTCACACTCATTTCTTACATACACAGAATGATACAATATGACCTTTGCGGAGAGGTAAATAGTTTTGAGCGCTCCATGATTTCCAGAATCATGTAATGGATCACCCACTTCGGTATGGTCATATTGTAATTTCAGTTTCACAAGGAATGCTACTTTCCTCTCTCTTCATGGACATGCGAACCAATTCAGTTTCTAATTTTGACACAGTGTCGTTATTTTTTACATCCGCATGGTTTGTGCACCTTATCCCAAGAACGTTTTCCTGCATGGAGACAGGCTCTTGCCTTTGGGAGGGAGGATCCTCACTCCCCTGCACTGAATGGTGTTCCTCTTCAGGAACTTGAGGAAACGACAATTGCGTGTACTTTGTCCTTGTCTGGCAATGCGTGCCGCTGGTTTCCAGGAATGGTCGAGTACGTTCTTCACACCGCTGCAATAATATATTTCGGATAAGAATCCGATATGGGGACTGACATGAATATATGTTGGTCTTTAAAAAAAAGATCAAAGTCCGATTGCATACATCTTTTGTTAACGGTCCTTTAAGGACCGAGAAGGACGAGAAAAAAGGCTCTTTACCTGAACGCTCACCTTTTCTTCTCATGAAACAACATTAATTCAATGGTGTTTCAACGTCAGGATGTTGACTCGACATTGAACCAATGTTGTTTTAATGTTATATGCTACTAGCGTCTAAGTGAGGATTTTCCATATGGGAGTATGACTTTCCGAAGTAGGTAGGTAGGAAATACTTATGGGGGAAAATAATTGCATGACATGATTCGAAAATAAGATTCAGGGTTTGATTGTCTTTCCCATGCATGACTGGAAACAGGTAAATTGCCGAATGACAAAATAAAAAAGGCGGGAATGCACCGATCGCATCGCTCATATTTAGATAAATCGACTCCTGGGCGACTCTCCATGTTTCTGTTCGGTCTCTGAGATATCACCCAAAAAATTCCAAAGAAACCAAATCACGATAATTTGGCGAAGATTCGCAAGAACCAAGTAGGAAAAGTAACCGTGTTGACAGACGTACTTCAAAATGTTAACGGTACGTCATACTGGATGAGTGAAAAATTGAACTAGAGCCTTGAGCTACTGCAAGTACGAAGAGTGTTTACAAAGTTCTGGGAATTTGCGTGCTAATTTTTAATTGGCTAATTTCCTTCGATATTACAAAGCAATTTTTCAATATAGTCACCATTTAGCTGTATACATTTGTGCCAGCGAGTAACTTTTTTTTCAGTCCATATTCAAAGAACTTCTGTGTAATACATTCTATCCACTCATTTATCACTGCTTTAACTTCAAATAGAGACTCAAAATGGATTCCTCGAAGTGGTTTCTTCATGTCCGCAAATAGATTATACTCGCTGGGCGCCAGGTCTGGAGAATTGGGCGAGTGTGACAGCAATTCCCAGCGCAGAACCCACAAAACGACCTTCGTAAGATGAGCAGCGTGCGGGCACGCATTGTCTTGATGCAGTAATGGTCGGGAATGGCATGAAAACCAGAGTATTATGGAGCATTTACTGTGGAACATTTTTGTAGATTATCAATCATGATTATTCCCATTATCCCCTAGCCATCTCAAAACATTGTTATCATAACCATACCAACTGATGGTCCTTGCTTCAAGTTGAGGGCCATCAGAAGGTCTCCGCCACGGACTGAATTTTTATTTGTGGATTAAAGTAAGTATCCAGGTCTCATTTGTTGTGATGATTCATTGCCAGAAACTTTCCCCTTATTGTTCCTGTAGCGCCAATAACTCGGAACAAAATTCCACACGATTGAGTTTCTGTTCTGGCCCCAGCAGGTACAATACTCATCGTACAGGAACGTTGCTCACTCCGAGACGGTTATGTAAAATTTCATTAACTTTTCTGGAATTGATGCATACACTTGAAATCTCGCGAAAGGTGATTCGTTCGTCTTCCATTATATTTTTCTCCACAGCGAGGACATTTGTTTTCTTAGTTGCACTGTTTGGTCGATACTTTGGTCATCTTCAAGGCTCGTTCTTCCAATTTTAAAGCAATCAATCCAACGATAAACGATACTTTTAGATTCAAAATATTCACCAAAAACAGATACCAGCCGTTGAATAATTTCAGACGTCCTAACACCTTCCTACCATGAAAAGAAAATGATATTTCTTTGAAAATTTACCACGTCTTCCATTCCTGAAGAAGTATACCCTGCGCGAACGCTGACAACTTCTTACTGACGCACGTCCAGTGGAAAATATTTTGCAATCTTGTTTTATGACATGCCTAAGCATGCGTGACCAACTTTGAGGTAGGCTTTGATCACCCTTTGCAGTGATGGAATAAAATTCCCAGAAACTTGTAAGCAACCCTAGTAATTGACTTCGTTGTTCTGCATTTGGAGAACTCAATTAACTGGAACTCGCAGCTGTAAACTGCATCAATAACATTAATTATATGTATTTGGTTCCGAGGAAAGTATTACATCGCGCGTAGCTATTCCCATTTTGACGAATTTCATGAAGGATGTCACTGAATTTCCTTGAAACACCTTACAGGCTTGTCATCGAACATTTGAATTTAAAAAACTCACCGATCGTTCATAATCTGAAAGCATATCAGTGAACCGGAGACTCAATTCAGGAAACGTTGGCCGATTGTTAGGGTCTGCTTCCCAACACTGAAGCATGATTTCGTGGCTGTAAAAGTCGAAGAATGCAAACATGAAGCTTTCATTATGTGTCCTGCTAGCATATAATCGCACATTCTTGGATTGCTCTTAGTTTTCAGAGTCTGAATCCAGCATTGTACTGTACAGTCATAGGCACTTCCTCTCTTGAAGTATGTGAAATGATTCTGGATGCAATAGCTACATAAATTTCAGAAGGAAACATTCACGAAAAAAATTGCGTGCACGTGCATAAACAACTTCAAAGAGACGTAAATGCAGCGGATGATATAATATAAATTTCATTTATAATATAATGATCTGCTCATTACAGGAAAAAATTAATAAAAATAAAAAATTCCTACCTAAACAATCTTGTGCCATATCATTCTGTAATGCCATGTCAGTCACGAAAAAATATTGACACGACAGTGAAAATTCTAAGGATCCTAATGATGCTTTATGATAATTTATTTGCTCTTCCCCCCACCCCCAACATAATTTATTTATTTTTCCCACCACATTCCATTTTCAGGCAAATCAACAGTTCCATCGTCATGCAAGTGATGAATGTCTAAACTATAAGTGAGGAGTTCTATACTTTATTATTGTTTTTGTCGAGATCAAAATCGAACAATAGAACGTTACATCAGCCGTTACATCAACCTTTACTTGTTTCCCTCCAATAAGGCATGTGCTGAGTTAAGACCCTCAGGATACTCACATGCGATGATTGGCATACCCAGGACACTCCAAACGATACCCTTTCTGCAGATTCTGGACGAGCTCATGTATTTTCATGCCTTGGTATGGAGTCATCCCAAGGCTAAATATCTCCCACAGCGTGACTCCAAATGCCCAAACATCTGACTGGCTCGTATAAACCCCATCATAGACCAGGCACTCTGGAGCCATCCATCTGTATGCAATTGGAACCTAACAAAAATAAAGAATGTGTTAAGCTTCAAGTCTTACCAGAAGAAAACATTGAAGAATAAATATAAAACTGGCATGTCTTCTCATGATATAATGATTCCCCGGTTGTATGTTCCTGGCAAGACCAAAGTCACATATTTTCACAACGTTGTCTTCAGCCAAAAGCACATTTCTTAGAGCCAAATCCCGATGGACGACCTGGAAGAAAATATGAACGATTTGCATCTATGAAGTAATGTCAGCGATTAAGATATTGGTTCACGCATGACATGCCTGCCGAGAGGCCAAGTATGCCATTCCTTGAACGATCTGATAGGCGAATGATATCAGGTCATAAGTCGTCAAAGGTTTTGCAATAATGCTGTCGCATTGGAAGGAACCACGCTTTTGCCTCTCTGTCGATGGAATGACACTTGGAATATCCGATTCTCCTGCAATATAATTTTTCAGAAATCATAAAAATGAGAAATTGTGTGGGCAAAAAGAGACTTTCATTGTAATTCATGAAGACTCACTAAAGACCACATTTTAAATCCATTTTCTTAACATATTCGAGACAGCGCTCATGCTATGGCTGGGTTCTCACATTTCCCAACATTATTCTTGATGACGGGCTCTAGACGAGTGAGGTCTGCACATGAATATTCCTCAAAGGTTCATATTTAATATGGAGTGCTGTGGTAGGGAATTCGGATATTTTCTTTTCTGCTTGATACAATTTAGTTGGCGGAATACCAGTTGTTTTCAAATCCCAGCTCAGCTGATTCATGGCGTTCGAACATCATAGTTTCTTGAGTGCTACCAGGCGTTTTTTAAAGTTATTTTGTACAGAATGTTGTGTTGCTTTTTGCTCTTATTTCCTTGATAATTTGTAAAATGTAGCATTATTCCCGTAATCTGACTCAGTTTCCTTCAAAGAATGGATTTAGCTGAAGTTTTTTTTTCAAACTTATTTCTTACAATTTACCTAGAAGTTTATATATGGATTTAATCATTAAAACGGTATGAATTCATTTCAACAGACAAAAAATACCCAATATCATCATACTTCCAGCATGCTTTTTTTTTAAAAAAAAATACTGAAAGATAGCCAGTTTTCTGGGCCCTCGTAGTGCAAAATAGTAGTACTGGTCTCGAATGAGATAATAGACCAGGTCAATCCAGTGGTAATGTTTTTTGGATATCGTGAGCATTATGTGTAGGCAAACATTCCAGTCAATGTTTTCAGAAAATCATTAGAAATTATATTTGAAATAGCCGACCCGTGGAAACTTCCACGAACTATTGGCCAAGAACTCCCTGGTTCATTCTCGGCCCAAAAATTCAGTGGCACTCTCATCGCACATGCGGCAGACCCTCTTTCCTAATTTGTCCACGTCTCACACATAATCCCTGGAGTCCCCCTTCATCCCGCCGAAGGAAGTATGATTTCCTCGCCGGGGTGAGATCTTTGACCTTACGTTTATCGGAATCCCGATCCTTTAATCGCCTCCTATCGATCCCAACCCTGTCTGCTTCGTACGTAAAGTCCATCTACATTACTTTTCATGCTAGCCCTTTAGTGAAATATACGGATACGGAAACGGGGTGGTTACGACACTACCGGCGGCATCTTTGCAATCAAAGGATAAACCTTTCTGTTCTATCCCATCCAGATGGAATCCTTCCGTTGCCACATTCGGGAGTTATTCTCTTTCGCACGGAGGAACATGGGGCTCCCAAGTGTTGTGCATGGCTTTCACCGCGTAAAAATTCATGTCGAGGTTTGAACATCCCATAGTGGTGGGGGGAGGGAGAGTTGCGCATGGCGTACAATGACTGTCTCTCACATTCTCAAGAATGGATCCGACAGTCGCAAACGCCGGAGAGAATGTGCGAGCTCAAGAGCGTGAGCCGGGCACTCCAACTCTCGGGAAGTCTTCCACGAACTGTTTCTCGGGAACGCCCGAGTTCAGTCAGCAGCCCTAAAATTCAACGACAAAAGCAGCATCTGCTCTATCCCATTCTCGAGAATGACCGGTGGAAGACTTCCACGAACTTCGAGTCGGTCAAGACTAGAGGTGTAAAACTGCCGGCCCACTACTTGATTTCATCCGGCGTGCAATGTCCCATTCAATAGTTGGTTTCGGAAAAACGTCGACTTCTTCAACCTATTAGCAATTGAAACGTTGGGATAAGATTCACTAATGTGGACCCAATCACTCCTAAAGAGTTCCACCCAGCTCTAAGCTTAATCAAGTTTGACATTTCTAGTCTAGGCTAGCGAATGCAGCGAATTCAGGGTCGCCAAAAGGAATTGTGAGGCCTCGGCAATATTCACATCAGGGCTCCTTTCCACTGTTCACCCTTCCTCCGCTTCAACCGCACTCAGTCTACTCTTCATTGCTAACGAACTCTACACTGTTGAACAATAATACGTACATCATCCGGTGTGCCCCCTACCCTCTCCCCCTCTACGGTAATGAACATAGTCGGGAATCCACGAGTTCAGTCAGCACTTGAACACTCTACGCGGCAGGCATTCTTTCTCCCGTTCTTGAGGACAAATCCAGCAGTCGCGAAGACTGGAAAAAACTGCTCTCCTAAGAGCGAGACGGAGACCCCAACCCGTGGAAGACAATCATGAATTTTCGGTCAACCTAGACTAAGCGTGCAACTTTTACAGATACGAGTTCAGCTGGCGGCACATCAATGCAATGGGATAAACGAGGTCTCACAATAAAGTCCCGGGACTGATTTTTTGTGTGCCTGTCAATATCACAAAAATTACTTTCATTCCATTGACTAGATTAGACTGATGCGCAATGTCGTATCAGTCCTCACCTAACTCGCATCTTGAAAGAGAGTTTGGCTGGCAATTTAGCAACTCAGTGCGTAAGGCGTCTATCATTTTCCCAGAGTGAAACGATGCTTCGCATTTTTTGTCTCAATCTGGGGAATTCAGCTGCAGAGATTCATCAAATGTTGCAAGAAGTGTCTTGACATGTTGTATTGTGATACTCAAAGAATCTTGAATAGTTTTCAAGGCTTTCAGTCTGTAGAAATGGTATTGAAAATAATGACTGGTTCAGCCATCCCTTGGATGAATGTTTGGTGATGATTCGGGTTGAGGAAGATCTGAGTGTCTTCAGTACTTGCTAAGGCCATGAAGATCATTCATAATTATTGAAGCATATCAAGGAACCTTTCAATGCATTTCTGCAACATATGATGGATTACTTCAGCAGCTATATTGAACGGTTTGAGACTAAATGTGATGAAATATTGTTTCACTCTGGGAATATGACGGATGCCTTACGCACTGAGTTTCTACATTGCCGGCCAAACTCTCATTCAAGATGCTGCTTAGATGAGGACTGATCAACACTGCCCAACAGTCAAATCTATCCGTCAATGTAATGAAAATTGTTTGTATGGTATTGACGGAACTCACGAAAAGTCAGTCCTGGAACTTTATTATCAGACCTCGTATAATGCAGTGATTATGTAGATGTGGATTGATTCACATTGAAATTCAAATGTACTAATGGCACAGACCATTGGATACATCATGGGAAACGTACCTTGGAGATGTAGTCCATTGCAAACTTCTTCATTACTGGAACACCAAGAAACCTCGGCATAGTTGAGGTTTGCTCCGCTGTTTTTGGAAAGAACGTTCTATTGAGCTGTGAATTTTTTAACACCAGAGGATAGAAATTGACGGCTGGGACTAACCCATGGTGTGGATTTTCCTTAGCTCTAAACAGAGCATCATCAAGAGATACCAGGTCAATGATAATCTCTGGATTCAAAGCATTGATTGGTATATTCGCATTGGCAGGGGCAATATCATGTGTAAAGTAGCCTTTATGCTTCCTCAGATACGACTCCAGACTTCCATACGGGCAATGCTCCAATATGATCATGAGATCTCCTGCATATAACTCTAGGTTATTTTCGGGACGAAGATGATTTGGGTTATTGAAAGAGGAAATAAGCAGTCCCTCTTCACGAAAGGATCCACGAAGGGAATCCAAGGGCTTTGAAAACTCAAAATCATTTTCTTATTGGGCTTCACTTAATATGAGTGAGCGCAATATACTCAATATGAGTATATTGGGCATATACTCATGAATGTGACCCTTCAGGGCAGATTGTGAAGAGATTTGAAGTTAGGCACTCAAGAAATAATCGAGCAATTAATTTGATGAAAATATCGGTTTGTTCTCTATTGACCCACATTCCAACATGCACATACTTTTAATTCGTTTTTGCCCTTTTAAAAATAAATAAATCAATCAATCACTAACCTGAACAATGGATCACCAAAGGCTCTATCTTAGCGAGTTTGTTTATACGAAGGGCAAACTAATTTGCTAGTACAGTGTATAGATGAGAAAAATCAAAACTTTGAAATCATGAAGCAGATTCTTCGAATACAGTATATAAAAAACTAGGATTTTAAATTTTGTGGATAACCTTCAAAGATGACGAACTAAACTATGAGTTTGGATTTGCGACTCTTGCGAAATTTTAAAGGTACAATTGTGCAAATCTTTCATAACTTAAGTGGAACATTTTCCTGATTCAGCACAAAATTATTTTTGAATAAGCTATGATTGCCCAGCCTCACGCTTTGATTTGAGCAATTTAGCACCTTTCTGCCCTGAGTAATTTTAAAGTTGCACTTGTTCTAAACGCCAATTTAAGATTCCGTCCCAACCTTCAAATGGGACTTCAGGAGCTTTGCACCTAGACTATTGACATTTTGTGACCCTTATACGGGCAAGGGGGTACGTTGGACCCCCAGGTCTCATAGTTTCTAAGCAGCATTCAAACAATTGCAGACATTTTCCTGTCGTTTTTAGTATTTGTAAAACATGGTTTAAAAATACACGAGTGAGAAAGAGAGGAACTCAGAACCTGAGGTCCATTACAGGTAATAATGCGGAAAAATATCAATGAAATTCGGTAACGGTAGAATTCAGGCATTGAAGAAGGGGGAAAAATAGGAAATTTTCCTATTTTATACCTTTGTTTTACCATCCAAATTTTACCTAAGATTAAGGAAAAATGCAGGATGCAAATTATGTCGCATTAATTTTTAAAATAATTGGAATCAACAATATAGAGACGTTGCTTTGGGGCAAGCATGTTTTTGCCTTCGGTTTAGCCCCACTAAATACTTAAAGTAATAGGGAGTCCAATGGACCCCCCTTGCCTGGTTACATTTGTATTGATATTTTACCTTGCCTGGATAAGGGTTAACAAAGTATTTTTTGCAAGCTAGGGACCTCTCGGTGCAGCAGCAATCTGCACATCATTTAAAATGAAAGAACTCCCTGGGCATAAAATCTCACACGAGTAGATTTACATTTTTCTTTGCGGTACAACATGCATAAACAGGAACAAAAGAAGCGACCTCGTGCCATGTTTTTTGTGCAGGCTCCAAGGAGATTGACGACATTCATGTGATTGCCAAGGTGACTCATAATCTTTAGCTCCATCATCAGTGCCAGGTAATTCTCCAAGTTGTTGCAG